ATCACAGCAGCGCAGAGAGATTTGGAGCTGCTCTGATACTTCTCAAATGTTTCTAGCAGTTCTCAGCACAGCTAGCCAGAAAAACCCACCCCACTCGCTCTTTGTTTCGGCAACTAAATCTGATAGGTGACAGTTATTGTTGTTCTTCTCCTGGTCCCCTGTCATTAGTAGCTTTTTTATCCTGTGCCCTTATTAATGAAAATACTTTTTTTCCCCCAAGTATTTCTGATAAATACTTCTCCAAACTATTCAAACTAGCCTTCAGACTTCAAACAAGTCTTGAAAGAGTTGACATTGCCAGTTACACCAGATTCACCAGTATGCCCTGGGATCCTGCAGATACCTGCCAGGACTACCCTTGCCTGGCCAGTATAACCATTTCCATCAAACACAGCTCTTAGCCCCCTCCAATGGTGCCCACCCAAGAATTCAACGTCCCACTTGCAATTCCTTAATCAAGTTGCCAAATACCAACAGTGTCTTCTGGATAATCTGCGTATGGTGTAAAATCTCATCTTGGCCCCTTTCTGTTCGTTCAGAGTCAGAGTCCTGCAGCTACAGCTGGACAGGAGGAGGGTCACCACGGAGCAGACACTTGGGAAGCAAACGTGCTGGCTATTCCAGTTGGTGTCTCTCTGGAGAAACAGCCCTTAGAAATTAATTTTTCAATTAATAGATTAATATTTTTTTGTTCATTGATTTTGTATCTTCCCAGATTCTCTGCCTGCTCCATAATGCTTTTAATTATAGACTTAAATTCAGAATCTGTATATTTAAAAGAAAAAAAAAAAAAAAAAGCCTTGGAAAAATGCTTTAAAAGCCAAGACAAGATGGAATTATTTTAATAAGCGTGTGTTGCTTTAGATTCCTATATTCCAGCTGCAAATCTCTGAGGCAGCCTGAATAACTGAAAGGATTTTATGTCTGGGAAGAGGAATAGGATGGTTTTAGCGCTAGCTGCACAGCAAGGGGATGACTTCTCGTTAGACATTGGGTTTCAGGTCTGGAAAACGCTGTCTCATCCCTGCCCAGTGCCAGGACACGTGTGTGTGCAGCAGCTCTGGGAGGGGCAGAGCCAGGGAGGGGCTGCTGGGCTGGGCAGCGATTCCTTTCGGGGCTCTGGCCTTCAGGGGAAGGTGGATTTTCATCGACTAAATTTTTATTAGTTTGCTCAAAAGCTATCAGTGGTATTCAACAGCAGAGATCAGCCACGACAGACTGCTGTGCTGGCAGCACTCTGCTCCTCCGTGTGTGTGCCTTAGACGTGGCTTGTCTTAAACATGGCTTGTCTTAAACGTGCCTTAAACATGGCTTGTCTTAAACATGCCTTGTCCATCAGCCTTCACGCTGCTCACTCTCTGGCTGAGGAAATTACTCATTAACTTGCATGCAGGGATTCAAGTCCTAAACTGTTTGCCAAGAGGATGTCAGACAGAGTTGCTTGGTCTTGTTATGGCCTGAAAGAACCGTCTCAGTCATTGAGTTCTGCATTTTGACGTTTTCATAAATGGAGAGAGAGGATTTCTCTTTATATGGAGCTAGGTTTGATCCTGTTCATATTATTCTCCATGCAAAAACTTCCCAAACAAAGGATATTTACCAGCCACAAAAGCAGCCTGTCTTTCCTTTCCTGGCCCATCTTTCAAACAACATCATACACCATTTAAATACTTCAGTAGAATGTGACCAAATCCCACTCTTTTCATCCAGCAAGATGCCTTTGTCAGCTGTTAGTCTCCAGCATAAAGCCATCGTTAAACAACAAGGTGATGGGTTTGTGTGCAGAGTAACTTGCAACTGGGAAAACTAAACAGAGAAGAGACATAAATTAAGTAAAATCCTGTTTTAATCTGTTTCAGACACAAAGAAAAAGACAGGAGAGGACAGGAAATCTTGATTTCTGCCTTGCATTCTTTTCTTTCTCTTGCCTCTGTGCTTTTGGAATAGGTAGGCTTGAGTTAGCCTTGTCTTGCCCATATTCCAGAGCTGCTGGCAGGCGTTGCACAGGCCTGCTTCCAGATGTCAGCCACCAACACCCAGAGAGAGGATCGGGCACGCGGGAGCGGGGAACTGCACCTCTCGGACACCGCCCAGAAACCGCGGTGGTATGCGGCGAGGGACCTGATGGGCAAACCTGAGCAGAGGCTTTAAGTGAGCAGCGGTTGGATGGGTCATTGCGCAAGTCAAGTAAAGGTTTTCTTCTGGTACTATGCAAATCAGCTAAATGTTGGTGAGATATGAATGTGTTTACAAAATGACAAGAATAAAACTCAATAGAAAAATATGGGAACTTAATGTCTAGCTTAACTGACTTCTCCTCAGTGTCCCAAGGAGGTAACAGAGAAAATGAGGCTGCTGCCAGCTGAGGTAGGACCTTGGGTCCTCTGAATTGTCCCCTGGAGGAACTTCTCTTGAGCTGATGATTAAGTTATCTAATACGAGGCAAAACCTTACCATGCAAAATTGAGATCCGAGCAAAATCTTAAAGCTGAGGTCGTTATAAGCTTATATTAAGGTCAGGTTATTGTAAGGTTATATTAACTCCTGTTGTTACGTTCACCTGAAGCAGGATCAGCAACAAATCCGGACTGAATCCTCCGCCTAGAACAGAAATAGGGTACTGCAGCTTCCACAGAGTGGTAAACATCGAGGAGCCATTATTGATGCTTTGCTCTATATAGATCTCCCACGACGTTGTCTCGAGTCCAGAGCTTTCCTAAAAAGGTTCCAAGGTAAAACAATGCCTGTGCAGCTGCCTGCTGCCTTGGGAGGGATCCAGCAGCCTCTTGTGAGCTCTCTCTGAAGGTCGTCGGGAGAGGAGAGGGCAGGAAAGGAGTATCCCACTCGAGTACCAGCTAATTCAATCCGGTGATGATTCATGTTTCACATCCCAGGATGGCTTGGTATTTCATGGACTTATTACCTTTTATAGCAATGCAAAATATGTACAATTCAATTGTACAAATCACAATGACAGAACAATAGCTTAACAAAATCAAAACAACACTCCTCAGTCTTATCAGCCTAGGCTTTCTGAAAATACCAGTAAAACCTATGACCCTGGGAAGCTCTGTGCTCTGCTTTAATGGTCTCTGAAAGCCCAGTGAAGAAGTAGATGGGCCCTCTAGCAGCTCCCAAAGATGGTAAGCTCCGTTTTTACTAAATGTGTGGTAAACACAAGACTCCTGCCCTGTGCCTGATGGAATCAGTGGGAGTCTTGTGACTGACTCCAAGAGCAGCTAGGTTAAACCAGTGGCTGTACAGCACAGTAAGACACAGATACCCAGTTTAAGAGTACCCGGGGAGCAGGAATGACCACTCTGGGTAGCGGTCAATCAGCCACCTAAAGGAAATTTTGAAAGATGGTAAGAAAAACCTCTTTGCTCCTTGTTGCAACAGTCTGGGACAACAAGAGTTCCTATAATAACTGGTGTGTTGGGATGGTCTTCCTCTGAACCTTGCACTTTCTTAAATTAACAATTTATAAGTTTATTTGTCAGAGATTTGGCTCCTCTACATCCAAATGGGAATTTGTTCTTCATTTATAAGTCAGGAGACTTACTTGTGAGAAAAAGATTAAGAAATCTGCACGTTATTTTCCAGACCAACAGTTTTTCGATTGTTTCAGCGTGAAGCGAAAAAAGCCACTCCCCAAAACTAAAGAGATAGTCTCAGTTCCACAGTAAGGTGGAACGCTGGGTCTGTGTGCGGGTCTGTGTGCATGTACAGACATGCCATTTTTTATTCAGACTTTTTTCTTCTCTGTGTAATCCTTCCCCATCTGACACTTCCAGACACTGATAACTTGTGGCAGCAGTGGCTCCCGGACCACCACACTTGATGGCATTACAGTGTGCCACCATCCCATAACATAGTTAAACCTCTCAATTTCATATTTTATTGGCCTGGTGAGTAAAAGCAGACAGAACTGCTCAGGGTTTGTGCTCAGAGGCCGATGCTCCGTGGCTGCCACAGTTTCAGATATGGCACTATTTAAAAATTATAATTAGATAAATAAATCACCTTGTTGCTTTCACAGAGGCTTGCCCTGAATTTCAGTTTGCTAGTGGGACAGTAGCTGGTTTGGGCCCCTCAGGATGTACTTCAGAAAACAATTTAGCTTGATTTTAAGCACATTGGGATATCCAACTGTGATTAACCATCCTACGTTTTGGTATTTTTTTTCCTAGCGAGGCTTTGAGACTGGATGGATCCTCTGTGCAAAGTGTAGGAGTTCCCCACCAGTTCTCCAGGGGAGGATTTTCTGGTCCCGCTGTGCTCTGCAGCACAGAGCTCCGGCCTGGGCGACGGCCTCGCTGTCAGACATTGTCTCTCTCTGCGGTGGCGGAGCAGAGCTCTGTCTACAGCAACTCAGAGGAACAAATAGGAAACAGGATTTCCCCCAACAGGCATCTGATTTTTCAGAAACGAACCGTTGTAACGGGATGTGCAGCCAAGCAAAAACCATAATTTATACTAAAAGCCTTCAGACTTAACAGACATGGCGAGCAGGACTTGTAGCTTCCTTCTCTTGAGCACCAGGCATTAGCTGGCTCTCTTTTCCTCTCAGTATTTTCTAGAAATAATGTTCTCGTTACCTGTTTGTGCAGGGTGGATTCTGGTAACTGCCAGATCAAGAAACTTGCCCCTGTTATTTTTTTGTTACAAAAGCGACCGGCTTTACATGCTCCCCACCCTCGGGGAGCCCAGGAGAGCTTGTGTTTGCCTGCTGCTGCAGCCCTGGGGAGATGCCTTTTCAGGAACTCGGCTCTTCAGATAAAAAGTCTCCCTCTTCTCACTCAAGGATGCTCTCCTGTGAGCATTGCAGCATATTTTAAAAGCTTTATCCGTCTGGAAATTTTCCAGACAGTCCCTTACCTACCGATGCCATCCTCCTCCTCTCCCCCTCCCTTCTTAAATCTTCCCAAGCAGCTCTGTATCATTAATATTTCAGTATCAGCTGTTCACAGGCATTGGCCACACTGCAGTGCACTTCATCAATAAGAGCCTGCAAAGGCTGTGAGGTTTGCCACACTGCCTTCATCCGGCGGAGGAGTAAGAGCAAAGGCAGAGACCGGCAGAGAGACCGAGTGTCTGCCGAGGGTAAGGCTCATACCGCAGTCCTGGTCTTTTTGCTGCTGTCCCTCACTCGGATCGTCCAGGTACTCCCCTAGCAAGCAAGAATGGATGTCTTTAAGAAAGGTTTCTCCATTGCTAAGGAAGGTGTGGTGGCTGCTGCAGAAAAGACCAAGCAGGGAGTGACGGAGGCTGCAGAGAAGACTAAGGAAGGGGTGATGTATGTAGGTAAGAGAGAACTATTTTCAGTCTACATTTGAGCATGCACTGCTGCATGGGTTGTCCTTGAGAAAGTCTGGGGAAATTATATTGTGGCTGAAGCTTGGGAGTGAATGGCAGGAGGTCTGGATAACATCCTCCGCTCCGTCACGTTGTTGCTGTGTAAGCCTGGGGTGCCACATCCTCCCCGTGCCTCAGTTTCCCCAACTGTAAACTAGACATAGGAACGGCCACTACTTCAGAAGAGGCAGAACTAATGCAGCGTTAAGGAGCAAGTGCCCAGGTGGGAGGTTTCTGTTGTGACTCTTCACTGATTGTTTTCAGGCTGAGTCACTCTCTCTCCGAGCATCTGAGCAGCCGGGCTCTGCCTCGCCTCTGCGCTGCGAGGCGCATCCTGAGGAGTGCCCGAGAGCTCCAGCAGCGTTGTTAAGTGGGGATTGCAGGATGCATCTGCTTCCCCACGTACATACCACTGTGTTATCCCGAAATCCTTCTCTTGTTCGCTGACCCGGTTCATTCCCCATGCAGGCACCGATCTTGCTTTACAAGAGATGTCCAGACCCGCTTTGCCCAGAGGACAGGATCTGGCAAACAGCAGGTTTGTCCTGCCTAGAGACCCCCCTCACAGTTAAGGCACTGGTTTAGAAACCTCCCCCTTCAAGGGCACCCTTGAAACCCTCTATCTTCACTATCTAGCGTGTGCACTTATGGGGGAGATGGCCAGATATTCCAGGTACTACCAAATCTACAGAGTCTTAAGTTCCCAAGTCTGATTCCCTCACTGCTGATTGCTGCACCTCACGCAGCTTTTTGTGTTTGCTAGATGTGGGAGAGAGGGATGTTTTTTTTTTTAGTAGGAAAGTTTACATGCAGGCTCTTCCTGCTATCGTGCTGCAACATCCACAGCTGTACATAGCCACTCTATTTAAAACAGCTCCCCTGGCAATAGCTGCAAATATATATTTGTGCATTGCAAATGAAACACAAATGGTATGTGTAGCAGCTCTGATATCTTCATGCCACAATTTTAAATACTCAGCTATTGGCATGCTGTAAATGAACATATGTAACAGTTCACATTTCAGCTTGAAGCTGACTTGCAAGAAGAAAAGGTAAGCAGCATCCCTGTGAACAACTAAACTAACCACAGTAGCTGGAACGCCAGCCTGTAAAACATCGCGGCTAGGTGTCGGATCGTGGCATCGCTACTGCTCCAGCTTGGTCCTGGTTTGAGTGGTGGCAGAAAGGCTTATTCCGAAATTTTATACGTAATTCCTCACAGCTCTGTTCAGTCGTTCTGTACCTGTACTGTGACCTGGTTCTCATTTTTGGACAGCCGTGAGGTATGGCATCTGCTCGTGGGATTTTAACCTTTTCAGTAAAGTTCTCTAAAAGCCGTCTTAAAACCTAAATCTCTGAATGAGCATCAGATAAGGACCAAGGCGAAGATTAAGTGCTCTCTCAATTTATTTTTTTTGTCTTGGTGTGTTGGTATGCAGCCGATTCCTGCCCTGTCATGCCCTGGACAGTGCTTTGCCTTGGGGTTGGTTCAGTTCCTCTTGCACGCTGGGGGATGCTCAGCCCTCTGGGGAAAATTCAGTCTTTCACAGAGAGGAAGAGGAAAGGCCAGATGCTGATTAGCTCAGAGAATTGATTTTTAAATAAGCAGAGAAGGTGGAAGCCAAACATATTGATTAAAACTGGAATGATTCGTATGTTGTGCTGCCTTTTCTCAATGAAGGGTTAACCAGGCACCTGAGCTGTTCCTCCCCTGCTCCTTCCCTTACAGCCCCTTATCCCAGCAGCTTGGTCTCCAGAGTTATGAGCAACCCGAATTTTCGGATGCTAGGAGAAATAATACTTTTATAAAACCTTGAGAGTCTTTTCAGAACATCAGGAAAGGGAAGAAAAAAAAAACCCAAAGCCTAGGATGGATAAAGCGGATCCCTGACTTTTGTTCAGGTTTGTGTTAACTCATTGCTGACTCTTCAAGGAGGATCCCAGATGACTGGGCACAACCCCCATGTCTGGTGAGACACTTGCTGCCGCCCCAGGAGAAGACAACAACGCTCCTTCAAAGGCATTTTCCTGGAGCAGGCAGTGTCCTCAGGGTCCTCCCCTCTGAGCCACAGAGGTTGAGTTTGCACAACCCTCACCAGGGCCGGAGCTGCCTCCCTCCTGTGCCGCCGCTGCGCTGCGGTTTGCGGCGGGGCTGGTGGGAGATGCTGCCCTGGCCGCAGGGGTCGTGGTGTGGCTCCTGTCTGCTCCTGCCCTGCCGCAGGGCTTGCCAAGCGTGGAGGGGGGAGGAGACCCTGCACAAAAAGAGGGAGAAAGCCTGTAGCACGAGTCACCTTTGCACTTCGTAAACCCACCATCTGCTTTCCAGATGGCAGCAGCCGCTGGGTGTACTGGGGTGGTACTGGATCCTTGCCGTTAATGGGTACCCAGCACTTGACTCAGTGGGCTGTCTTTTTTATTTGTTTTAAATAGGGGGATAAGTTATGCTGAAGTTAATTAACAAGGTTAATGCAAAGCTGCATCAGAGTATTGAGTATGAAGTCATTAGTATGGCTTAATACTATAATTCATAAAACCTCAACAAAGGATGCATTTCTGGTTTTCCAGAATGGCTTTTGACCGTGCGTGTCGCAGACAGGCCCAGCACACCGAGCTCTGCTTCACAAACTCCTGCAGGACTTACACCACACATAATATCCTTTGCTATGAACCTTTTCCCACTGCACAGTGCTCCACCAGCTCGGTTGCACCCTTGGGATACCGAAGCTCTTGCAGATGACTCACAGCACTCAGAAGAGGCAGGATGAACATTTTAATTCAATGTACAAAAGCTGCAGGCAAGGACTAATGAGTGAAATGAGATTGAGCATCGGGTGATTGCTTTGCGATTCAACAGATGCGGGTTGCTGGCAAGGGCATGTGCCGGAAGGTCACATTTCATGGGGTGCGTGGTGGCTGCTGAGCCTGAGTCACTGGGTGTGGCCAGGAGCCTGGCTTAGGAAGATGAGACAAGCTCTCGCCAGGCTGCAGCGGGGGCACTTCCCCGTCCTGTTGCTTCTGTCGCGAAATGGGCTTGGGGTGTTTTTCTTCTACCTCCATCCTTCCTTTCTGGAATTATTTTCCATCAAAAAATATGGCACCCACCCATTCCCCTCCCCCTGCAAAAGAATCAAGCCCAGTGAGTCATCTTAAATCCAAAGTCTGGTACAAAAACTCTACAGAGGTACAGCTCTCGTCTCACTAAGCGTGTTCACTGCTCGGCAGGAATGTAGGCAAGGCTAGTACAGCGAGTTAAACCCTTCGCTTACCTAACAACTGCTCTGTGACCAAATGCCAGCAAAGAAGGGCTAAGCCTGAACACTTGTGTCTGATGGGAGAAGATCTTGTCCCTCAAATCAATATTGTGGCAGATTTTTACTGGAATGCAGCGGGAGGGAAACTGAGGCAGGATGGCATCTGAACTGAACCGTGGGCATTTGGCCCGTCCCGGAGCTCACGTTCATGGCTTAAGACTTGCATCTTCTCGCTGCTCTGCCTCTGCACACATTTGTTTATCATGGGCATCGTTATTAAATCCAGCTTACAGCAGAGCACACGTATCCTGTGCATCACTAGTAACTGCAGTTTACAGCAGAAACCAATTTAAAGTACGAAGATTCTCCAGTTTTAACACAGTTCAGGAGGGTGGAGTGGAATGTTGGGGGCATACTCTAGTAGAACAGCTTTGTTCTGCCCCAGGCAACCAAAATAAGTCAACAATTGAGAATTACTTTCAATAATACATAACATGTATGAGGCGGACCAGAGCCGGGCTGTTATCAGGGCACTGCACCTGTTTTGCTTTTCGGGCTGTTCATGAGAACAAGATGTGGGTTGTAGCTGATTTCTCCCACCACACCCATGGATGCTCCCGCACCTCAGGAGTCAAAGGCCTGCCTGCTGCTCTGTTTCTGTAGTTTTGACAGCTGGCCATAAAATCCTTTTGTTGTACCAGCATGGGAAACTTGAAAAGAGCGTGTATAGGCGCGGATCGCTTTCCAAACACACTCAGGTGGGTCCAGTGGAACATTTTGACACGTGTTTGTTTAACTTCCAACAGAGATAAATTTGATCCTTTGTTTTCGTAATGCGAAGAAGCATCTAGTTACAGTGGGGGCTGCCCATCTACTGTAGGATTTAACACACATGCTGCAGTGTACAAACAGAAAGGATGTATAGAAGGTCACTTCAAGCTTGGAGGAAAACCACAGAGATTAATTACTCCTTGAGGGCTACTTGTGTTGCAGACTGAATGCCCTCACATCCTGTTAGCTTTTCTGCCTTGAGAACAGCGAGATAAATGACAATGTAAGCCTGCATATGGCGTGCTTTCATAATTTGAGATGAAAGCGTTTGCATTCTGTGTATCGCTGCGAGCAGGCACCCACAGCCTGAGCTGAGGCCCTGAAATGTGAATCTAGTAAGTAGGTATGTAGTAGGTGGGTTGGTTGGTCTGTAAATTCAGCCTCAAGTTTCTCCAGAGTCTTTGTTAGAGGTCCAGAATGAAGCTTTAAATGAGCACGGCAGCCAGGCACCTGCTGGAAGGCAGGAGAGTCACGGATGTGACTCCTTGTCTTGAGAGGCTGAAGTGGGTGAGATTTTGCCAGATGACTTCGTGTACGTTCATTTTTACAATTGGCTCAACATTGATTTGCCTTCACCTGACTGTTCTTTTCATTCTGGAAATATTCCAGGGATAATTTTTCGTACCTCAGCATGGTATAATCAAGATTTTTCAGGTCTAGGCATTTCCAGACAACTTGTGGTTGAGGTTACCCGACTGCTGACACAAAGGTACTCATTGACTTTACTGGGCAAGGCACCTGGTCCCTCTGCCACCTCTACAAATGGCTTCTGTCTCAGCAGGAGATGCTGGCAGCACCACAGCTCCCCGCTGCGCCTCAGAAATCCATCTGTGTCCAGAAACCCGGGGGTTCTTTGCCAGGTAGCATTCACGGGCCGTGTTTTTCCTTTCACAGGTACCAAAACCAAGGAAGGCGTGGTGCAAAGTGTGACCTCAGGTAAGAGCACGGCCCTGAGAGATGTGGAAATCTGTGATGTGCTGCTGGGCCATCGCTCCTGCCAGATGGAAGGTCTCTGGGGGACACGCTGACCTCTGTGATCTCTCGTCTGATGAATGGCGGGTGCTTGCCAGAAGCGATGGTTCAGGGTCTGGCATTTGCCGTACACGTGAATGGGAGAAAATATTTATTCAGCAGAGCAGGTCAAAGAAAAAAAAAAAAATCTAACAAATGTTACTTGGTAGGCTTGGATGATTCACTACAATTTAGACATCTCACCATGTCAAGAGCACTGCCCAGTGTGTGGAGAGGGTTTAATTGCATCAGATCCTGCTGGGCCAGCACTGTGGTGGCTGGGAGACCCCCGTCAGGCAGCCCCAGGGCCCCTAAGGGATCCTCCTGGCGTCCCAGCTCCGCGGCAGGGCAGCTCTGTGGGCTGCCGTGAGCTGAAAGGATCCTGTCCCTGGAGAATTGCACGATGATTACTTTTTCTTCTACCCAGATCTATTAAATCAAACAGAAGGTATCCAGAGCGAGCTCGTACACAGGCTGCAATGCAAAGCACCTTATTTGCACAGTTGTCAGTCTCTTACAGTGAGTTTTTCATTGTCCAGCTGCCCACAAAGACAGGCAGGCTGCAGTGCTGCCCTCCGAGCAGCACTTTGAGTCAGACAAACCCCTCATGTACATGAGCTAAATTCAGACATGATCTCATATAAAAAATACAAACAAGGACTGTACCAGGGCTGACTACTTCTCTGACCTTGATGCAATGGTTTTAATTGTCCCAACGAATTTGTCAGCCTTTTGGCAGTGTCTAGCTCATTCATTGACTTTCTGCTTTCGTTGAAATCCCAGTTGCCGAGAAGACCAAAGAGCAGGCCAATGTGGTGGGAGAAGCTGTAGTAGCCAGTGTGAACACAGTGGCAAACAAGACTGTAGAAGGAGCAGAGACCATTGTGGCCACCACAGGAGTTGTAAAAAAGGTACGTTTGTTTCTTTGGTGATGCGCAGAAGAGTGGTCTTTGGATTACATTTAAAATATCTGCAAATATGTACAGTTGATGCTTTTATATAATGCTTAATATTATTGTATGATGCCTAATATAATCACAGAAACTTTTTTTTTGTTTGGAAGGGACTACCTGAGGTTGTCTAGTCCATCCCCCTTAGAGTCAATGAAAGGTTTCCCAGGACTGTCTCCAGTTGGGGTTTGAATGTGCAGAGTGTCCCTGGGCAGCCTGTGCCAGTGTTCGACCACCCTCACAGGAAACAAGAGGTGTTTGCTTGTGTTCGGGTGGACACGTTAGTCAGTTTGTGCCTCTTGGCCCCTCAGCGAGCACTGCTGGCAAGGGTCTGGCTCCCCATTTTCTTACGAACGTAGAAAAGCATTTTTCCTGGGGGACTTGAGCAGAAACGTGGCCAGGCTGCAGCGAGGACCTGCCCAGAGTCGGAGCGGGGGGTGTGCGGGCTGTGGGGGAGCCGGAGCTCAGCCCTTGCACGTGGCCTTGGCCTTGGCCTTGGCCCCGGGCCCGGCAGCTCCGCAGGCAGCAGAGGGCAGCAGCAATTCAGGCAAAGCCGGGCCCAGCAGAGAGCCCGACCCTCCTGCTCTGCGTTGTCCCGGTTTTAACAACCACCAAGCGCCTGTTGGTAAAAGCCATGAGACCCAGGCTGTGCCGGATTAACCGGGTGCAGACAAGGCATCTTCTGTCCTCCGGCCCAACGCCACAAACCGGGTGGGTTCAGTGTCAGGGGATTAAGGGGCACGTGAAGGAGCAGAACATCTCCCTGGACGAAGTCGATCATTAGAGAAGATGCTTTTGGCGGGTGGTGACACAGAGCAACCCTTGGACAGTGCACGAGGGTGAGATCTGGCAGGTCTGTGCTAAACCCGCCTGCGTTTCCCCTCTCCAGAGCTCCATGAGTCACAGCAAACCCAAACCTGGAATCAAAGCCAAGCGAGGCTGGCCAAAATTCTTTTAATTGTTCAGACAGTTGGCTGATGAATTTCCTGACCTGCACGTAAACACATTGTGATGCGAAACAAAACTTCTACCCACCATATAAATCCTGAGAGAATAGCCTAACAAAAGAGGAGAACAGCGGCTACGAGTGACGCAAAATGCCCTCCTGACAGCATGTGAAAAGGGCCGAGGCAGAAATTCTGCTAAGCCCTTGGGATAAGATTAATCTCTCTTCCCACAGGGAACAGCAGTTAGGCTGCAGGAGTGCAAACAGCGATTCCTGACTCTGTGGGGCCACACTACCCCCTCCTGCCTTCTGCCTGACCAGGAGCGGGGTGGTTGACCCAGCAGAGCTAAGAATTTGCTGACAGGAGGAATCCGTCCTGCAGATACCCAACTGTCTGGCAAGGACTGAGCAGCAGCAGTCCTCTCCCCCTTCCGTCCGAAGTGAGAGCCTCCCCTTTAAAGGCTGACAAGCTACAACTTACAGGTGTTCATTTCAGAGCTCAAATCATTTGACTGTATCAGTTTCCTTGTGTGGGTAGTCCCTTAGAAAATCAGCAGTTCCTTCACGCTAGCGATGGTCCCGGGTTACGCAGACTTCGGGCAATGCACAGAAGCTGTGAGTTTTCCCGAGGGTTAAAGCATCAAGCATCTGAACTGTCATTCTGGCATCTGGCACTGATGTCTGCCTGCTTAGAGTTAAAAGGGGGATTGATCAAGAAATAAAAAAGTGGGATGTGTCACATGGCAAAGGGCAGATAAATAAGGGAGACAGGAAACTGCTTTGGATACAGAATCATGGTGTCATGGACAATAACAGAGGTGGCCAGCAGGATGGAAACGGGAGGAGAAAAACAAGGGAAATGGCACAGGAGAAAGAAATTCAGGAAAAATATTTGTTTCTGTGAAAGAAAGGGATCATCTACTGGTTTAGTTCATCTTAGATCAGGAGTGTAAGTCTCGTAGTCACCGTCACTCACCATACTTGCATTTGTTAGCTGGCTTTTGGATAGTGATGACCCAGAGGACTGAGCTCAGCGCGTGTGTCCCCGGTGATGTGCCGGGTGACTGCCACGGAGCCTGAGCCGCGCTGGAGTCACGGCCCGACAGGAGCCGAGGGTTTGTGCTGGGCTCTCCGGATCTGTTCCTATTGTGCTACACAACTTGCTAATGGAAATACAGCCAGAGGCTGCCAAGAGCCACAGCAGGCACTGTAGTGCGTGTGAGAGACCCGGGGGAGATACACTAAGAGGAGTGATAAAGCAGAGCAGCTAGATGTTTGAAAGAGAAACGTCTGCTGGTGTAGTCTCGCAACACCGGAATTAAAGGGTTCAGCCCCTGAAGTCCGAGAGCCCCGTTACATGCGGTCCTGAGGTGTGTTTGTGCTGCCTTCTTTCTAACTGCAAAGAGTAGTTGTTAACATCTCCTCTCTGTTTCCCACTCTCTCCAGTGTTGCTCCCTGATGACTTTACAGAGGGCTTGTTCGCAGGCCCCGGGCTCCCTGGGAACGCGCGGCACCGAGCCGCGCTGCGGGGGTTCAAAGCTGGCGAGTGCCGTGGCCCAGGAGGCACGTCCCAGCTCAGCGTTCGCAGTATGAGGATCAGTTACAGGGAGCTGGTTGACATTTAATCTGTGCACTTGACAGCTGGGATCAGTAGTGGGTACATGCTAGCAAGGAGTGGGGAACTCTAAGGATTCTGGATTAAGTTTAGCGCGGGGCGGTTGAGCTCTGTGGGTGGATCAGGTGGTGACTGTGGCCGTGGGGAGGAATTCAGCCCGTCGCAGAACATGGCAGGCGCTGAAATGTGAACACACGTGGGGCTGCTGGCAGCCTGCTGCTCCCCTCTGTCCTGGGCGGGAGCACTCGAGCCCCGCGGAAGGAGCCAGGGCTGGGAGAGCTCTGCCTGGGGGTGCCAGCGCCAGGAGAGAGCAACCGCGAGGAGCATCGGCGTGGCCAGCAGGGCTTTGGTACAGAGCTGGTCATGGCCAACGGGGCAAGAAAGTATGGACTCAGGAGGAGGAGTTTTTAAGTATTAACTGAAAAATACGTAAGTTAAAAGGCTCTAAACCCTCTGCATTTTTCCTGATATGCAAAGTAATCAGAGCTATCAGTAATGTGCTTTGTCTGTGGCTCTGCACCCATCCCAGTCCCTGGGGTAGACATTAAGGGATTTCAGTGAGATAACCACCCACTAAATATCCCTGTCTTAAAGAGGATTAATTCTTCATCAGCATGACACAGCACAAAGCTTGCTGCAGTGCAGACACCACGTGGTTGGGAACAAGCACACACACACACACTCACAAAATGTTCCTCAGGGACTGGAAGAATTTCCCCAGTACTTCATGCTTCCCTCCACCTAGATTTTCCCTTTAGATCTGTTTGCCCTGTCAGTTTTTATAGATTTTGGTTGTCAGTTCACGGCTCTTGTCATTTTGAATTGGGTTTGATCTTTTTTTTTTTTTTTTATTTCACTCCATTAATTCTTTGAGCGGTTGTCAGTTACGTGCAACCACTGGGTGCGCTCACTGGTTCACATCATTTCTGTCTGCGCTTGATCTCGCGCACGTGTGCTGCGCCAGTGCCACAGCTTACAGCTTTCATAACAACTGCACATTCTGGATACGAGCAGTTGATGTTCGTGGCCTTAATTCTGTTCACTTCAGCCCTGCAATGCCAACGACGCTGGGACAGTCGCACCGAAGGAATTAGAAGCAGAAACCAATGAGTGACCCCCCCCGTTTAAGTTAGTTTGGGCAGGGCGAGTGTCACGAGGAGAGAGCAACCAAGGGCATCTGAGAGGCAGCTGAGGGCAGAGCTGCTTAGCAGGAGGAACAGGGAAATCAGCAGCCTAACTACCGTACAATTAAGCAGAATAAATAGTTGAAACTCTTCCCCTTTGTATTCAGGCTTCATTGTACTTCACTGATGCAGTGATGCATCCCAGTGGTATCCTTCAGCATCCCGCGGAGCAGGGGAGACTCCAGGAGCAGTGTGGGGTGGGTACTCTGCCTGCAGACCCTTCTGTGCTTCCCTCTGTCTCATTAGTGCGCCCAGGCACACGTCTTACACACGCGGAGTAGCTGAGGTAGTGGCACTGGTGAGATCTTAAAGTCTACAAGACTCTGTGTGCTCTCTCCATGGCTGAAGCCCGTGCCCCAGTAATCCTGTAGGCTAATAATGTAAATATGTGTTATTTGTATACACAGCTCCAGGAAAAACCCTAAGAGTCTGGCTGTGAGCTGGGTGAAAGCAAAGCTACCCCTAGATTCCACCTGGGTTTGCAGGGTAAGACAGGACTCCCACGCACCCGCCTGTCTGTCCTGTCGGTGGATCCACTCGCTCCGATCAGGGGTTGACCTCTTAGAGCTGTGAGCATCACTGCGAGCACATTCAGCCCGAGACCCGTCCGGGACAGCCCGTCTGTAGGACCTGACGGGTTGCCTGCGGGTTGACAAGGGAGCGGTGTGGGGCTGCTGCCAAGTAACATTGGAGGAAAAGCAACACCCAGCGTCACGAGCGCTACAGGAGCCTGAGCCTTTTGCCTTACGCCGCCGATGGCCCACTGAGGGCTGTTAAGTTTGCAGCAGGTTAGGTTGCCAGTGAACCTCTCTGGGTTTACAGCCTTAAAATAAAAATAATACTAAAACCAGAAATCTTGCTTGCCACTAAATTTCTGGAGGTTTTGGTGAGTAATGTTCCAGCATCCAGCATTTAGAGTCTGCATGCTTTCTCTGTTAGATAAGGAAGGTAATCCTGGTAAGGTTGCGTGTCTTAGAATTTTTGGCGATGGCAAAAAAAACCCCACGGGTCTATAACATAACATGGACAACAATAGAAATTCCATTTCATGTGTGGACTCAGCCAACACAGTCACTGAGCTGAAAAGGGGAATTTCCTAGAACCTGTGAGACAGTGCAGTCTGAAGAATCACATTATAATGAAATCTTTCTTCAAAATCTACGGACTTTTAAAATTTGTTTTTAAAAAACCCCAAAGCTATGAAAATATCAGAACCCAGAAGCCTGTAGTGTTGAGTTTTTCACTAGTGAGATCTGAACATGTAACTGTTTCATAAACAGTGAAATGTTGTCTTTTATATATATAAATCTACTATCGTGTATATAGTCTAGATACAAATATATTTATATACATAAAAAATATTTTAAAACTTGTATAGCATTCCTGTAATGAATTCTAAGGTCTTGTGTTTCACTTAACTATTATGTTAAACTAGTTCATTCTTCTCTCTAGCCAAAAAGATTCACCAACTACCCCCCCCAAAAAAAAAACAAACAAAAAAACCCAGACCATAGCAAGCTAAATTAGTTTTTGTTTTGATTTTAAATACTTTTTCTAAGACAGTGTGTGATTTCTGAAGGGGATAAAAACAAATCTGCCTGTCATTTCAGAGCAGGAGGAGCGTTACTAATTACTTCACGGTTGCAACATGCCTTTCCCTTAGAACATTTTATCCCTTTTAATGAGGAGATGAACCCTGAAAGGCCTGGCAGAGTTCTTGCTGTCCTCCAGAGAATGTGGATTTTCACCCTTGTTTTCTTGCCCAGCATCGCGCTGGGACCGCTGGGGTTGGTACCGGGGAGTTCTGGCCCTTTGCCCGAAGCGAAGACCCTTCCAGCACATGGGGCTCCTCTCTAGTTTGCTTTCCTGACCGATGACCAGAATTCCCCGGCACCTACCGCCCCGCCGAGGAACGCAGCCCTTCCTCATCTGCTCCCTGTGATGGCCGGGGTGGGAAGTGCGTGAGAAAAAGGCCATGAGGCGACGTCCCTAACACGGCTTGACACCTCTTCATCCTGCAATTGTGCTGGTTCCTCCACCACAGTTTAGAAACACTCTCCAGAAACATGGTTGCTTCCCTTTCCAAAAATAGATGGATGAGTCACTTGTGTCCTGGAGCAGAGTCTTGGCAGAGAGCAGGATTTCCAGGCTCTAATAAGCAGCACAATAGGTGAGCAGGGATTCTCCAGCCCACCCATCGCTCCTGGAGGAGGGTCCCCTCGCCCGTGACCGTTCCCACACCTGCCGTGGCTGAGCTCCCGGGGGTCAGGCCCTGTAGGAGGGGGGGTCCTTGTGTTCCTGCCAGCTGTCCCCCAGTTTTCGCAGCACAGCTCAGTGCCTTCGGCAGTCACCTTTGCCTCACCTTCACGGTTTCACACAGCTGCCTGCAGGAAACCTACATAGCACCTGCTGCTGCAGCAATTGTCATTGCCTTGCATTGCAGGTTTCTTTTCTTTCCACCTAACAGTCAGGAAACTGTTTGTAAAGCTTCAAAATAAATGTTAAGACTATTTACTCACTTTGGCCCAATGGCACTGTCGACTTATAAGGTGTAGTCCTTTTTGTATGGCTCTGTATGCATGTGCACTGTTTTAAAGCTACAGACTGCGTCCTGAGGCCACATCAGACCCCATAAATTCGGTCGTGAGCTGTTTGCTGACAACAGGAGAGTTCCCGTGTTTGGGAAAGGCTGTGGCTAAGCAGCTCCCTCAGAGCTGTGGCCTCAGGCTGCGCCAGGAACCGGAGACCAGAACCAGGTTACCCGGGCTTACTTAACACGTCAGGCTGATGCTAGCAGGAACCACTGCAGCCAACAATACTCTGCAAGTTAATGGGGGGAAAAAAAAAAAAACCCACACTGTGCTTTTCATATGGGAACACCCCCGGTGCATGGGGCTCTCTATAAACAAAAAAGCTGACTCTCGGCAGGGAGGTGAAGGGAATCCCTAGAGCTGTGACAGACGCTGGTACTGGGTTGCAGCTCATATTTTGGCCACTTTCTTTCTTTGGTGGATGGATCTCTTACGGCAGCTTGCATGGAGAGCAAGAACCCTATGGCAGGACAGCCAGGTTTGTCCATCTCCCGACTCCCCCTCCTGCCAAAAATCCATCTGTAGTCCAAGTTCCAGTTTAAATTTTAGTGGGATCTACCTTATATCTACGCAACTCTGTGAAAGATGTCTATTTTTTCCTTTTCATTTCACAACACCTTCCCTAATTCAGACCCAAAAGCAGCAGGGGTGTTCTCCTACTGATAAGAATAGTTGTGACTGGACAGGAAAGTAAGGACACACATGAAAACGAAGAGTGGAGTCTCCCAAAACGCATGGAGCATGAAGTTCTGCTTACAGTAGGTTTGACAGGGACGTTTGATTTGCATTGCATCAGCAGTGGCACCGGTGAAAGCAGTGGCCTTGTGTTTCCAAAATATTGAATTATATATCTCCCTTCCACTTACTTTTGTTTAATGTAATATGTGTGTCTCAGGTTCCTTCTATAAAGGCCCTGGCCATATGGGAAAAGAGTAAAAATTCAGGGATGCTGCTGGGGACGTGTGCTCCAAGGGACCGGAGAAGCTTTGTAATTTCAGCAGAGTTCCCTGGTGACTCGGGGCTGGACTGCAGAGGTCCTGCTATTTCTGCTGCCCCCTGCTCTTGCTGACCGAGGAAATGCATTTCTGCTTTCTGTCCATCCCTCGTGCACATCCACTATGGTCGGGATGTTTGTCTACCCGTGTGGCCAAATCATGTCTAAGATCTTTTATCTTTGAATAGGAAGCTGAAAGATGTGAGCAAGTGGCTAAAAGAGCCCAAAGTGCTTAGGAAAATGCTTGGGCTTTAGACACAAAGAAAAGTTTAGTGATTGGTAATGACATTTTATCTGACATTAATGCCCCCACAATACTGCTGTATCTGCAGCGAGTCCATGCAATGAGTGTTTAGGGTAAGACAGACGATGTGAGGAGAGGCTTACGCTGCGTCTTACACTACATAAATTTATTTGTTCCTCCGAAGTTTATTCACACCGAAGGAGTGAAAATTCTGGTCTTGGTGGCAGGAAAGAAAACTTCAGAAAAAGAACTGATTTTCTTTATGAAAAAGACCCTAAACCAGGCTGTAAGAACTTGAGTTGCTTTTTCGTAGACAACTGTTCTGATAAGCTGCACAAAAAAATAGATTTTGAGCAACATTTGCCATCTATGAAACCAAGTATTTTATTGGTACGTGTGATGTTCAAACCCGTTTTGCACCGTCTGCTCAAATAGTCTGTAAGATGGGGGCGATGACTGCGTGGGGCAGTAAGGACGGCGTCTCCCCGGGGCAGTGAGGACGGTGTGTCCCCGGGGCAGTAAGGACGGTGTGTCCCCGGGGCAGTAAGGACGGTGTGTCCCTGGGGCAGTAAGGACGGTGTGTCCCTGGGGCAGTGAGGACGGTGTGTCCCCGGGGCAGTGAGGACGGTGTCTCGCTGTGACTTGGCAGGAGGACCTGGCCGTGCCGCAGCCGCCCGAGCAGCCGGGGGCAGCAGGAGAGGGGACCCCAGCAGCGAGCGCCGACGCCGGCGGAGAGGTAAGCTGATGCCCCGGCCCCAACGTCCCCATGGCCCCGACGTCCCCATGGCCCCTGGGCTCTCCAGGCCACGTGTGAGCTTTCTCTGGGCTACCGGGTTTCCCCAGGACACTCTCCCCTTCGTTTCCTGTGGTTATCGATCTGCCGTGCATGGAGCCCATCAGTATTTCCACTTTCATGAGTTATTTGACCAAAACCTGAGCTCATCGGTTCTCGCTTTTGCCACGTCTCTGTTTGGGACCAAGAATCTGCCGTGAGTGACAGGTTGATCTGAGTCTGAGCTGATCTGGGGCTGTAAATGCACACACACACTAGTTAACGCTTTCCTGTGGTTTTATCATCACATGGAATAGCTTTTTGCTGGTTGCAGCCATGCTTCAGGAGAGCTTTAGATAACAAGTTAAAATTTTTCTATAGATTTTTAGATAACAAGTTAGATTTTTAAAAAATATATTTTTCTATATTTAAATTAGTTCTTTTAATTTTTGAGCTACTCTACCTGCAATGTCTTTTCGAAGCCCTGGACCACACGCCAGTCTCTGGGCCGCTTTCAGCTCTTGAGCAGGGGAGGGGAATCTCTTTTTGCCCATCATGGAAGGATGCTTTAAAGGAACAAACACTTGTCACGTGGTATTTCCTTTACGATTCCAATCCTAAGGCCTTTGCCCACTCTACAAGCCCCACAGTACCCAAACTCCCCAGTTCTCAGCTCCTCTGATGCTCGGACTTTTTCATGGTGCCCGACACTCCCACAAGCCGCAGCTTGCACCTCCCACCTTGGCCAGTCGTCGCCCCCCTGGTGCCAGTCCCCAGGCTGAGCCCGCTGATGCCAGGCTCCGTGCTGGGCCGGCGGCAGAGAGCACAACGCTCCGCCGGGGGCAGCCCGGCCCCACCTTAGCCCAACGTCAACCGCGTGGGAAACCACACTCTTGTTTTCCTTGGAGGTCTGAGTTACAGCAGGACTGTGGCTGGTTCCCAGAAGGAACGGATAATTCATTTATTTTCTGCACCACATACGGTCCTCATTGTTTTGTAGCTGTTTATGGGGTTTAATGTGGTGACTACCAGCATCGATTTTTCTCCTAATTTTATTTGCATGTGTTTTCCACTGGAAATATTTAACTGTTTTCCTGTCTGTCTTCTCTCACAGGGTGAAAATTAAGGCAATTAATCAGCTTAGGGACTTCTAGCTCAGAAGAGAGCATTCCAAGAGCATACATGGAAATATTAGCTGACACTACAAGAGGAAAATCCTGCTCTCCATAGACTAGCTGCACTCAGCTCTGTAGCCTTTCCGTTGCCTCATAAACCAGTCACACCATGTATGTAAGCCCGACTCCTCTGACTGTAAGTGAAGTGCAGGGGTGCGTGTCTCCCCCCCACCTCCCGACCCGCCCGCTTTGTGCGTTTTGGTCAGACTCACTGATTCATGTCTCTTGTCCATCTGCACTCGCACTTGGGATCTCTAGGTATGGCAGAAATATTTTTTTTAAACTAATAAAAAAGCTTTTGAACAAGTTTTTTTGTATTGTCGGTTTTATTTGCACTGTTGATCACTCCAAACAGATGAACTCTTCCTGTAAAAGTCTGGTACTAAAACACAGGGATCTCAGGACTGTAAGAGCCTTAGTTCATGATGCAAAAAATGGGGAATAATGAAAAATTATATTTCTGAAGTCGATCGTGTAGGTAGGCTGGTTTTCTGCCTCTCAGGCCTGAAAAATAAAGATTTCACTTTCTAAATACTCCCCCATGTTTAAGCAAGAGTGTGTGGGGGGGAATTGGAAAAAAAAAAAAGGAAGCTTCTTAAAGGAGTGTGAAAGTCAGCTGGGCTCAGTTAACATTTATTCTTTGCTGTTTGTGCTGCTTGAAAACTGGATCCTGACATCTGGGTGTAACAAACGGCTGGAAGGTAATTAAAGAGACTTGATGGGCACTGAGTCGTTAGATCAGAACTGCATTACTGCTGGCAGGGCAGGCAGGGCTGCTGCGAGATGCGTGAGTGCAGTGACAGGTGCCAAAGGAGAATTCCTGGTGCCGCGCAGACAGGACTAGTATCGGTTACAGCAGCTGCTCACGCTCCACGTAAATTGCAGCGTGAGAGCAGCAGAGACCTGCCGTGTTCACAAGCACAGAGAATGGGAAAACGCTGCTACAAGCTCGGTGCTGTAAATAATGGTGAATTTAAAGCGCGTCAGTAAGTACGGATCTCAAATCGAAGTGTCTTCACCTACAGGCAGAGCACTCGTGAATCCGTGAGAAGCCAGAGTAAAACCGTAGGGATTTAGGCTGTTTCAGAGCCAGACCACTCCTCTTCGTTAAGGTGAGTAATGGTGATGACTACGGGAGGGATTACAGGAGAGCCTTGCTGTAGCGTGCAAGGATCTAGCAAGTGTGGGATCAGCCTCTCACGCATTAACAACCCACAGAAAGCTTTGCTTTGCAGAGACCACAGGATTTCCACCCAGAACGGATGTTTGATCTCAGCAAGGAAAGGGAACAAAAGAGCCCTAGCAGAGCTAACAAGGTCCTTCAAAGGAAGTGATCGCCGATGTGTGCATACTCTTTCCTGATGTCCTGCAAAACATCTGCAGAACTTGCCAATTAAACAGAACAACTCAAATTGAGGCCCCGGTGAGGGGGCATAAAGGTATGTGATACGCACGCCCAGCAGCAGGAGGCTGGAGCCTATTCTTGGCGTTCACTAGAGAGAGACAGGGAAAAACCCTTCTGCTCCAAAGCTTTGCTTTATTGGGATTAAAAAAAAAAAAAAGTTCTGCCAGCCAGGGGGAAAGAGGAGGTGAGTGCCTTCGCTAGCTACAGCACGTGTGAGAGGCAGGAGCAGGTATCAGCTAGGCCAGGCTGTAACTCAAAGCAAGGAGTAGGCTGCTCCCCAGTGCCCATCTCTTGAGCAGGCTTAGCCCCCGGTTCAAAAGGACTTAAACCAGGAGAGAGTCAGAGTTGCTGAGCTCAGAGTGAGACACGCTGCTCCGTGGCCCGGAGCTGCGTCGCGGCCTTGCAGCCTCCACATCGGTGTGCTGTGCCACAGCATCCTCTTTGCTGTGGGAAGGAAAGGGTTTAACTGGACTTACACACCTGATCTGGACCAGTGAGCCTGGACACTACTTGACCGGGGGCACTGAAAGTGTCTGAGTGTTTTCTAAGGCTCTGCCTCTGCGCTTGCCTGCTTCTCCCATCACTGAGCACCGTGTCGTGCCTGGGCTGGACAAGGTTCTGCCATAGCCCCTGCCTAGGTCTGGTCTAGTCCTGCTGCAGTCAGAGCTCAGGGCAGACACAAGCCTGAAGGACAGAGATGGGGACGTGTGGTTCCTCCCACGCGAGCATCCCGCGTCCGCGAGCGGGACCAGGGTAGTGCTGTGCCCATGGCAGGGCATGAGCCTCCCTCCTCCCCTCGCTTCCCCGGGCCGGTGCCACCCAGCCAGGGAGAGCAGAGGTGCCAGGCTGAGGCGCCTCGGGCGAGGTAAGAAAAGTGAACACTTGTTTCTCCTGAAGTAGAAGGGTCTGTCACAAAAGAGCCAGAAGATTATTAATTATTCAGTTCAACCTCGCCGTATGTCTCTCTGGTTCACTGCATGTAAACGAATCTGTACTTTTAATGAGTGTTCAGACAAGAGTAACGAGAAGTGATGGAGCTGAAAGATGGAAGGATGGAGGAGACCCATCAGAAAATAACCCACGGCAGAAGGTGCCTTCTCAAGGGAAACGCCAGGAATGCCCCTGCCCCAGGTAAAACTGGTAGAGGCAAACACTAGCAAAATAAATTTTTTCTGACATGTTGTGGCCTGGGCGATCAAGAGTTTCTTTTACACATCTCACCCTGTGAATTATTTAAGTGGACCTCGTGTGTGTAATACCACTCTCGTATGAGCTGTTAATTCAATCCCCTTGTGACGAGCCAGCGCTCGGGGCCCGGCGTGGCAGGGCCATGGTCTGTCCCCGGTGACACGGCTCCTCGTGCTCGTGCTCCACGGGGATCCAACAAGCCAAGAACAGCAGCTGCCAAGCGCTGCCTCAACTTCACCGTACAAGTGACCACCAAAATGCTGAAAAAGGGCAGGTTTTTTTTTTTCCCCCTTGTAGGAGTAAAACACCATCTAAAACTGCCGTTATTAACAGTGATTTGTTTTGGTGCAGAGCTGCTCCTGCCACAATCATGCTTTAGCCAAGGGCTAAAGGGCAGGCAGGGCCCGGTTTCTCAAAGACGTTTGTCTGGATGCAGAAGAGAAAGCAATCTCAGTGCATTCCACTAATTTCAATGTAACACACGCCCTAAAATACCACCTCATCCAAAAGTTCTGTTTTCATGACTGCATAATGCATGTCCTAAAGCTGAACTCACAGAGTGCCTGGTTAAAAACTGAAGGGCTGTTTTTTTAATACCTTTCTCCATAAAATATACACAACCACATATTCTCCCCTCTTTGAGACTTTTTTCTATGTTGAAACATAACTTGTTTTGTCTCACCCACGCACTGAAACCGGCTCTCCTTCCTCCCCGAGTGTCTCAAAACAGAGCCACAGCCCTCCCATGCTCCTCACTCCCGGGACAGGACCAGTTATTTGTTCCCTCAGCCCTGTGCCAGTCCTTAAGGTGACAGCCAAGCTTTTCTCATCTTTTTAATTTTTATAATTTGAAGACCAGACAATTTTTTCACCTAATACTCAGGCTGCAGACTATCATGAGACTCCATGAAAATCCCAGTATTTAAGCAAGTTTTAATCTTCAGTGTTCCAGAAGGTGGCAGAAACTGGACACTTCACCTAAACATTGCCTGAAGATTCAGGGACCAGAAGGTAAAGAACTCCACATATACTGGCCTGATTTTGATCTCATCAAATTAACCCTGTTTTCCCATTTTCATGTGTAAAACATGAGTTCTAGCTCTGATCGATTACCTCTCATCCTGTCAGGTAATAAAAACAGAAGGGTTCCTCTTACTGATACGTGAGATGGTGCTCAAAGATGCCACGGCAGAGGTGTGAAAGGAAGGGAAACCAGGACAATTTCTGATTTCCCTGCAGAGCCTTCGACTGGACTGACAGCCGTTTGGACGGGATGTTTAGGGTTGTAAACGAGCTCCGGAGCGAGCCGTGGCTCATGGAGCCCTCCTAGCAGTTAAGGAATCAGTTTTGGGGTTTTTTTTCCCACTGAACAGAAATACCCTACGGCTCGTCAAAGGCAACAGACTATGGAGGAGAAGCCCGAGGACCCCGGCACGGGAGGAGCATGTTGGCGAGACAAGTGCCCAGCAGAGGCGAGCAGACAGCGCTGCCGGGGATCGTGGCACTTTTCACATCTTGGTTCTGACCAAGCAGCGTCAGCGACGCGCTCTGGCGTTACCAGCTGGAGTGACCTTCGGAACAGCCTGAGACTTCAGGGGCACCTCGGCGCGTGGCTCTGCCCGCACAGGCAGGCTGCCCACCCCAGCTGGCGCTCACCAGGGTTTCTGTCCGCAGGCTCAGCAGATACCGAGAGCTGAACGGAGCAAAAGTCCAAAGTGCTTTATACTCTCCTGCCCCACCCCTGTCTTTTCTTGTCATGAGACAACCCGGTTGAGAACCGACTGGTGAAATGAGTCCCACAGTACTCAGCGGGCAGGTCCATCGCGTGTCGGTTAGTTCTCTGACAAGAGCGACAGGCTGTCCGAACACAGACAAAGGAGTCAAAGCAAAGACTGGGATTCATGAGGAGGAACAGCTCTTACAAAAGCTCGCTTTCCACCCAGACATTCAGGATAGCTTAACTCCTAGCAAGCCGAAGATGCAGCGTTTCCGAGACTGCACATTCGAAGGCTGGCTTGAGAATGACGCCACAGGCATCCCAGGGCAGCCACAAGCGTGTTGAACTCCAGCTGAAGTGAGGAAAGGCTGGTGCCTGTCCCCAGCTCATCAGGAGCTCAAACGCCCCCCGTGACACTTCAAGAGGCGCAGGGAAGCCCGTCACAGACACCTGTGTGCACACTTACACCTGGTGTAAGGGCGTGTATGCAGTGAAATGTAAATCAGAGAACCTGTAGCTTGGACCAGGACAAAAATTAATCTAAAGCCATAGGATTAGTTTGCTTAGTTCATTGATTTATAATTAAAAATAAATTACTATTTTACTTTTACTATTCCTTAAACAGTCTGTCTCAGGAAAAGCTTTCAACAGCTTCTCTTGTGATATTGTTCTCCTTAGAGGCCAAGAGAAAGTTAAATTCTTTTGAGAAATAGGTTTTTAAAAAATCCCACGAGTAGATCCAATCTACATTAGTAGTTTTCAGTATTCACAACAGGACAAAGTGAAAACTCAGGGATAAATTGCCGTAAGTTTCTAAAGCAGATGAAATTCAAATCCTTATATTTGCTTGGGCCAACCATCCCTTTTATACCTGAGCACTCCAACATCAGTTCAAAATGCTTCGTGTTAGCTTTAAAAAAGTAATGTTAACCGACAACGTGAACAAGGATGATGCAATACATTCCATTAATTTTCTGATGTGGTTTTGTAACTCTGCAAGCCACCTGATGCACAGACCATTTATCCCATCATGTGGGAGAAACACGGACTGTATCAAAGGTCTCCTTTCCTTTGGGATCACACCATGTCAGTTTGACAAGCAAGTGTAATTTGCTCGCTTTGGGTTTTTCTGCTTGGAATCCAGCTAGTGATATTAATGCTAGGGGTAAGGTTACATTAGATGCTGCTCTGCTGACTGTGGTGTAGGTTTAACTCATGAATTCACGCTACTTAATGTTTTGAGCGGGAGGTAAAACGGGCAGTGTCACAGATCAGCCACCCATGAGTCTAAAGTGCTGAACAAAGATTTCCACTGGGAAGAATAATAGTTGGAGCTTGGGTAATCTAGGTAGGTGTCAGGGCAGAATTAGCGAGCAAGAGTTACCTGAATGGCTGTCTCCAAAATATTGCATGTTTAATGCTCGGTGTAAGCGTGCATCAATTCTAAACGTTCTCCCTTTCAGGCAGATCACCCCAGCCAGTGTCAGAGCCGCCCTCGAGCTGAAAATCCAGTAGCAGAGAAGAGCTGGGAGGGCAGCTGGAAGGTATTTGCGGTTGGAGCCTGGACATGTCCTCTCTCAAGCCAAGACAAGCTGCCTGGTGCGTGCTGGAGAGCCTCTTGCTCTCACTAACACTCTGCACAAAGTTAATCGAGGCAGCAGAAATCTGCCTGTTTGTTGTGGTTTTGTTGTTGCTAGGTTTTTGAGTTCGGGCAAAAAAGATAAATAGGTCTGGGTTGGTGGTTTTGTCCAAAAAAAGCCATATCCCCAAAATGTTGGGTGTCTTTTATCTGAGATTTTGTAAATCCAAGAAAAGCATTCCGAAAAAATAAATCAGCAAGGAATTGAAAAAGAGAGCTGATGGGAATTTATAATTAAAATGCTAATTGACCTGTTGAGAGGAAAAGAGAATTGCTGTTCGAAATAACAAATGAGTGGTGCCAGTGGTGCAAGAGTTTAAAAGAGCTCTCTGGAACGCCAGGCTGCGCAGAGCCAGGCGAGGCAAGCCTTCAGCCTCCTTTTCTTCACCCCTTCCTCACTTGGGTACTAATGAAGTACTGAACTGACGAGCACTGTCACTTCCCACCCTAGTTTATCCACAGCATCTTGTTCTCGTGCCCATTTCTCAACAAAAAGGCTTTCCTCGGGAAGATGAATCTGGGTATGAGTGTGAACGCTTGAACCAAGGTGCTTTGTGTGCTGGAAAATGGCGATGAGGAATCCAAACCCCCCCCAGAGCCGGCCAGACCTTTGGCCCCCGACTCTGCCAATAGTTTTATTTGTACAAAGTTTCTTTGCACTGGGGATTGGTGGTAGAAAACAAAAATTCAAAAGGCTAGTGGAAACCTGTGAAATGCCAGGGATTAAAGTCTGAAACTTTTATTAATGCCAGTGATGCTACGTAAGGAAAAGATTTTTAGCATTATTTTCTGTGCTAACAAAATCCGTACTACAAAGTCACACTAGGAAAAGGTGGTTTTGCTGATTTGGCTTCTTTTTCTCCCTTCCCCTGAGCACTGCTGGCACTGGTTACCCCCCTAACCCAGGCAAGGCCTTCAGTCATGATGGGCTCTTGCAGTCCAACTTGAACAGGCAACTGGAAAGATGAATTAGATTTGTGGTTTCTCATAAAAATACACATAAATGACAACTTTCGCCATCTAACTGTAGCTGACAAAAAAAAAAAAGTGGATTGTGATTAAAACTGCTAAAAACTGAAAGAAGTTTGGGCTAGTTTCTGTTCCCAGGAGGCTCAGCTGAGGGTGTGAATGACGGAGAAAGAAGCCAGCCCAGTGGGGACGAACGTTGGCCGTGCCCAAGCACTGCTACTTCAGTAGTTTTCCAGCACTCTTTAAAAGTTCAGCTCAGTGGTTTTCCTCTGTCTGTGATGGTGGAAAAGTTTTTTTTTTGTGGTTTTGATTTAAAAAAAAAAAAAAAAATCCCAACGCAACAAATTTCTAAACAAAGACAGTGCGACGAAGCAGAAATCTCAACCCAGGCACACCCTCTCACTGGGGAGGGTAAATAAATAGCTTTTCTGGGTGCATCTTCAGCTCTCATTCCTCACATTCAAACTCCACCCATTGCACCAATCACCCCCAAAAGCATCAGCAGGTCTCCTGGCCCAGGTATAAAACCCCAGGACAGGCCAGGACACCCCTCACATAGTGTGTTATTTGTCTCCAGGTGTTTAATTTATTGGAGCAGAGGAGTGGTAACAGGTGTCAGAAGTCACGATGTCGGGTAAAAACTTCCAGGGACTGAAGGAACAGGCTGAAGGTGCAGCGAAAGGTGCTGGTAAGAAAGATTAAATATCCTTATATATTTCTAGGAGGTGGGACTCTTACAATACCTTTTATTTATTTTAATCCGAGAATACAGCAGATGGGAACAAACAAACAATGGACAAGAAATATAACCCTAGTTTAACTGTTGATTACTGGAAGGACACCCAGTTTCATCATAGTGGTGTCCTGGAGTGTGAACAGTTTCACTGGTTTTGTAAACACACTCAGCAGATGTGGCAATAATCATTGCGTTGTTGTAAGAGTAGGGCAAGAGCTTGCCGAAGCCTTTGAGCCATATTGAAGACTGTGAGCAGTTGTGCTAAAAGATGTATTTTTCCTATGTGAAGGATGAGGGGGCCCTTCTGCCTTAAAATTTTATATTTGAAGAGAAAGAAATTATTCAAATATCAACAGCTTTCATTTTTCTACACAAAGGAGTAGGGAATTGCAGACCAAAGGGAGCTTTTTACATGCAATACTGTTTGCTTAAATTAGCATCATTTCTTAAATCCACATTTCTTCCCAAAGCCTGACATTGCTTCTGCAGCTTGTCCGGTTGCTTTTTCTACCCCATCTTGTGCCATCTTGGAAGCCTTGTCAATAGCTGCAAGAGAAGGAGAAAGATAAGCAGAAAGCTGGAAAAATGCAACGTGGTTTAATATTTATAATGGCTGGGAGAGGTGTGAAAATTATTAGACTTTAGGAATATAGGGATATATCATGAAGAAAGATTTTGGCAATTTTTCTGCCTTTCCATCTAACATCAACAGGTGCCCAAGCCCACCCTTCCCGTCACATCCGTGGAGCTGGAGAGGGTGTCTGCTCTAAGGACATATTGCCAGTGCGTTTTGGCTTTCATTAAATATATTAGACCCCAAAGTTGCTAGTTCTCCCCTCATTCTTAGAAAAGCATTAAAATTAAGTGAGAATTGAGCTTAGTTTTTAGCTTAACTTGTTCCAAATCCCCAGAAGCAAGACACCAACACTTTCCTGACAGCATGTTTCCAGCTGTGCTCTCATTAATGTCTGACCCCAGCTGCTGCCTAGGGCTGGGCACGGAGAGACCCGTGCCCTCCACGCTGGGGGCAGCAAGATGTATCGCAGGGTTACTTAATCCTCAAGAAAGAAAAGCAAAGT